GTCCAGTCAGTCACTACTCTGCTCCTGGCCCCAGGAGGCCACCCCAGGGACATGATGGAAAAAAGTGACCTATTATTTTTTTTTTTTTTTTGGAAGCCCAAAATAAAATGAAACATCTGTCTGGAACAGAGCCAGGCTGATAAAGAACAGACTGATCCCCCTGCTGGAGGACCCCCCCCCTCCCCAGCTCACACCCTTCACTCATCCCCTCACCCACGGGGAGTGCTCCTGGGGGCGGTGATGCAGCCTCAATACTTGGAACGGCGCGTGGGAAAGCGCTCAGTGTGTGCCTTGTGGCCGCTGGGGGCCCAAGGGAGGGGGCCTGGGTCCCCACACAGGCTGGGAACGGGCCTGGGAAGGAGGTCAGGGAGGGAGGGAGGCCCCACTGCCTATCCCTGCCGGCTGCCTGCCGCCTGCCTGCCCAGCAAGCACTTCCTGCCTCCTACGGCGCCTCACTGGCCCCCCAGCTCAGACCCAGATCCACATCAGCTGTCTGTGCTGGCCCTGCCCAGCCCAGAGACCCCTGGCTCACAGTCCCCTAGACCCACTTGGGATGTCCCTCATCAGCCCTTTCCAAATGAACAGTGGCTTAGACAGCCTTAAAAATAACACAAATAATAACTACTCCCAATTTAGAATTTACCCACCCAGCATCTCAGCTATGCTCTTTGTATGGATGACCTCACAAGTCCCCAGAACAATCCCATGACATGGGACTGCTTCCCTATCTTACAGATGAGGAAACTGAGGCACAGTGAGGTCAGAGCATTTGCCCAAGATCACAGAGCTTGCCAACAGCAGTTGCAGTTCTCAGGCTGGCCCCTGAGCACACAGACGCAACAGCCCCACCCCAGCAGCCTCTCCTGGGCAGGAAGCAGAGATGCAGAGCCCAGGGAGGACAGGATAGGACAGCTCCATCCACCACACCGAATGGTCAGCCTGTTCTGTCACCAACTTCCTTCCCTCTTTCATGCCCTTTTGAGCTGGTGAAGTTGAAGCTGGCAGACGGTGACGGAGTTGCACTGTTTTTCGCAGAGCTTCACAGGCTTAAGAGTGTCATGGGCCATATGTATGTCCTACTCACCTCTCCACCTTCCCTGCAATTGCATCCCGACCATGACAGGGAATTTATCACCTCTTCTTAGAGCCTCTCCATTGTGGGGAAGCTCAGGATTCTCAGAGGTCAGACTACAGAGATTGTTTTTATTACACTGAGTACAGCAAATGGCTTTTTGGTACCAGGAATCGAACTCAGAACCTTGTACTCTCCAGGCAGGCACTGTGCTGCTGAGCTGTATCTCCAGCCCACTGAATACAATCTGGCTAGACGCATCTTCTACAACCCAGCCCTGCTTCCACCCTCCAGCCTCTTTGGCCCAGAACATCTTTCTCCTCACTCCCTGTCCTGCTGCCCCAATCTGAAAACAAACAAAAATCAAGCACTCTACTAAATGAAATGATGGGGGTTTGGTTTCCTAATCACAGCTCATTATTCCCATTTTTTTTTTTTGTCTTTTTCATTTTTATCGGTACTGGGGATCGAACTCACAACCACCTGCTTGCAAGGCAGGTACTTATGCCGCTGAGCTAAATCCCCAGCCCCATCATTATTCCCATTTCATGGAGAGGAAACTGAGTCTCAGAGAGATCTAGTAACTTGCCTGAGGCCACAGCTCTATTAAGCAGAGGAGCTAAGTTACACACTCGGGCTGGCCAGAGTCCAAAGCCTGTTTTCTTAACTGCCATGCACATCTCCCCATCTCCTGCCCGGAAACTCCTCTGCCCACAGAGAACTGTCCCTTGAGGAGCTCACTCTAATGCAACTACAGAGAATCCAGGACAGGAAGAGCCTTCAAGGTCAAGGTCTTGCCCCTGTCATCACTGAGGAGCGGTTTGGGTCCTGAGCTCCTACCCCAGGCTACCCAGTACTTTGAAAGCCCAGGGAAGGGTAGACTCAGAACCCTTCCACAATTCTGCTGTAGAGCTTCAGAGTCAGCGGCTAGGGTTAAGAAAATTCTAAGGTTGGGTCTGACCCTGTCCCAAGGGCCTCTGAAATGCAGTGGCCCAGGAGTCAAGCCAGTTGTGTGGCCACCTCTGCCACAGGCCTGTTGGTTCCAGCATCCTTTGCACTGTGCACAGAGGGCCAGGCCTCAGCAGCTGCAGAATTCCAGGCCTCTGCCACCTTCTCTGCCTCCCTGCCCCCACCTTCCAGAGCCTCCTCTCTGGCCGGTGTCATGGCAACAGGGAGCGCCAGGCCCTGGAAGCCAAAGGAGCCCCTGAGAGGGGTCCCAGGCTGTGGCTGAGGAGGGGGGTGCTGTGGGCGCAGACAAGCAAACCTTCTGTTCCTCGGGCTGCTGCCAGCCCGGGATCAGCCATGGGCCGTGCCGAGGGCCACAAAGAGAATGCATTCTCAGAGCCAAGTGGGCAGGGGGCAGGCCGGCCTTGGGGCCCGTTCATACTGACCCACCAGCATGCAGCCTTCCCCTACCAGACCAGAGCTCACAAATCAAGCAGGGTAGCTGGCACCACGGCCATTGAGATTCTCCTCAGAGCCCTCCGGGGCAGCAGATCAGGAGAAAGGAAACTCCCATGTTTCATTTACACTGTCACTTTCTGAGCGTCTCTTCCTCCCTCCTTCTTCAGTGTTTTCCCTCTGATTCTCCCTTAACTGTTCCTCAGCCTCTCTGTGCCTCAGTTTCCTCATCTGTAAATTGAGGCCTGTCACTGAGTCATTGAGGCTAGTGATAGAGCTGACACAGCCAAATGCTGAGGACAGGGCCTGGCACGCAGCCTTCTGCAAAGCTAGAGGCCAGCTTCTTAATCATCTGCTCATGAGAGAATAAGTCACTGCCTCCCACAACCCTGCGCGCACAGCGGAGACTCTGCCAGCCCGGGCTGCTCAGAAGAGGCGCATGTGACACACTAGAAGGGGCAGAGAGGCCCTTCCTTCCGAAAGGGCTCCTCAGGGAGGGACAGCTGTGGTTATCGTGGGTACCGGCAGTGGTGGTCCATCCTTCTGCATTGAGGCTCAGCAAGGTGGCCACTCAGTGGCCGAGTGACCAGCAGACAGCCAGAAGTCAAATTTAATGCCTCCCCGCCCACTGTCTGCTGATTGCTTCTCCACTGCTCTACAGACGCTCACAGACTCAGGAGACCAAACATCTTGTAGAGTGAGCTCTTCTGGCCCTCGGGCCTGAGGCCTCATAGTGACGTAGGACTCACTAGGCTGGGGACAGGGAAGGGCAAGCAATGGTGACACTTTCCCTCCAGGGAATTGAGGGACAGGCTGATGGAAGGACAGCAGACGTGTGGAACCAGTGGGCTGCGCCTGATAGCATCAGGTGGGGACAAATCACGGCTAGGAATGGAGGGTCTGTCTTGAAGCCCCTTAATTCAAAGTCTAAAATCCCAACTCTTCTACCTCACCACTGTGTGCCCTCTATGAGTTTAACTTCTGTGAGTCTCTGTTTCCTGGACAATGGTCTAAGAGACCTCCTGTTCCACTGCCATAAGGGTTACAGATAGCAAAGAGTACTCAACACATAATAGATGCTCTGTAAATGGTGCTGAGGGGAATAGGGCTTCTTTGGGGCGATGGCATTGAGCGGGGCCTCCAACCCTTGAACCATTTTGAGCTGGGTTCTGTGGAGGATGGTACCAGAGCACAATATTCCACAGAACTGTGTGCAGGTGAAGCCAGGAAATGGCACAGTATCTGGGAGAAATGACAGGGAGAGATGTTAGGCTAGAAACTGAGTTTCTTCAGCAAAGAGGCAGGTGAAGGGCAGGAAAAGAAGTTAACCTTCAGGAAAGTTCTTGGGTGCTGGGTGAGGATTTGGGCTTTACTCTGCCCACCCACTGCAAAGCTGACTTTTCAAGGTGTTGATGGTGACGGTGGGTAGCCAGCTGCTGGCTGGGCAAGAGTAATACTGTGCCCCAGTCATTAAAGGGTTTGGGGCCTCCACGCAGGACAGTGACAGGAACGGGTTGGCATTTTGTGGGAAGCTATGAATTGGGATGGGACGGTGGAGTCAGAGAGGCCCGCTTCCAGGATAACGCCATCCCTGATCCATCCTGGACCCACTAGCAGGATAAGCTATATAATTTGTGGGACAACGCAAAATGCAAAGGTAGGATCTTTGTTTAAAAGGATTAAAAACTTCAAGAGTGACTGAAATGCATTGAACTAAGTGGGGGCCGCTAAACACAAAGTCATCCCTGTTTCCTAGACTAAAGGAATTTATCCACCCATGCATCCATCCACCGATGCATTTGTTTATCTTGCCGTACACCTATCTATTCACTATTTCACTGTCAACCCAACAGATGGGCCCAGGCTGGGAGCTAATAAGGACAGGAATGACAGGAGGAGTGACAGCCCACTGGGTCAAGCTTGAACCTTTACCTTCTGGGTTAAGGAGCAGCCAGGGCTTCTCTTGCCCCCTTGTCCTCGTCCCCACCCTGACTTAGCCTAGCCTCACAAGTGGAGAAGTTGGTAGGGTTACAACTCTGGAGGTTCTATTTTCCAGGAAATGAAAATAGCCAGAACAGTTGCAAGGAAGTGGTAAAAGAGCCACAAGGAGCCTGGATGGGCCCTCAGGGGTCTCCGAGTGACCCCACTGCCTTCTGGACTCTTTAAAGAGGAAGCGTGGCCAGAATGGAGAAGTGATGTGCCCGAAGCTGCCGTGGCAGGAAACTACCTGGGGTGGGCCTGGGCTCTGCATCCTTCATAAAGTGGCTTCTTTGCTCCTCTCCAGGCCAAATCTGCCTCCTGGCTTCATCCCAGAGAGACGTGGAGGCCAAGCCTGGAGTGACAGGAGGAGCTGGGCCTCTCCTGGACTTTAGGCTCTCGTGAAGCTTCAGCACACAGGGCACTCAAAGGAAAGCTCAGATCTGGGCTTCCATACCATCCCTCATGATCTGCACAGCCTCTACCCCACCCCTTCCCCTCTTGGACCTCACGTTCCCACCTATAAAAGAAAGAAGTCAAATCAGGTGACCTGAAAGCCCTTTTCATCTCTGACATGGGAAACTTTCCAATCTGCTGGCTCTCTCAAGGGACGGCCCTTTCCAACATGGGGTGGAGAAGCTGGCATCTCTGGCAGATGAAAGGTTCAGGTACCTGAGATATCAAACAGCCATTATGTGAGGCAGGAGCAAGGGTACTAATGTAATTAAAGCAGTGCACTTTGATTTCCTGTCTCTTATATCAAAATAGGGGTGGGCTGCCCTGAAAAGCATCTTGGGAGAGGGGGCTGGGGTGCAGATTGCAGGGCTCATGTAGCTCTTTTCCAGGCAGTCTGGGCCTGAAGGCATGGGAAGGCAGGCGTTGGTCATCCAAGCTGGACACACCAAGTGTGTCGATTCTATACCCAGCTCCAGAGCAGAGCCTCTGCACCCTTGCCTTCCCTGGCCTCTAAACCATCACTGGTTTGGGCCAAAGTCTTGGTTCCTCTTGAAATCAAAACCAATGGGGTTTGAAAGTTCAGGACTGGAAGGGCCTAGGACCACACCCCACCCGAGTAGACTCTTGGTGCTCTAAGCATCCAGGGACCTGGGTTTGTAACCCCTGCAGGAACGAGCCCTCAGAGCTCGCTGAGGAAGGGCCTCTCTAATGGTTAAAAAGCTCATACTTGTTATTGCAGGTTCAAGTTTTCCATTAGCAGCCATTGATCCTGACCTCTTTCTGTAATGTGTAGAGAAAATGTAAGAAAAACTCCTTTCATTGTGAAGTTAAATATGCATGATCTCTGCCTGAATACACAGCAGGGTTGCGCAGCTGCCAATCTGGGCTGATGGGGCTTGGAGTCCTGGGATTGTTTAGAGCTGGAAAGGACTTTGTGATCATCAAGGTCAACCTCTTTGTTTGAGGACTGAGAAGATGAGGCCCAGACTCTAAGGGACCAGCACTCTAGGGTTTCGTGACTTGCTTTGGAAGGCCGAGGGCCTCCCAGAGCCAGGGCCTCGTCCTCAGAGTGCACAGTGGGTCCCTGAGCCCCACCCAGCCTTGCATCATAGGGCTCTGGAGTCACACTCACTCGGGCACAAATCCCAGCTCCTATTTCCTAGCTGTGGAGCTCTGGGTAACTGACTTACCTTCTCAGGGAATCTTCATCAGCAAAGTGGTGAGTCTCTACCTGTACTTTAAGGTTACTAAAATGATTAAATTAATCCAGCAAGCATTTATTAAGAACTTCTTGAATGCCAGGCATGTTCTAAGTGCTGAGGACTACATCAGTAAACTTTGAGGTAATGGACAGACACAATTAAAATGCCCATCGAAAGTACTCAGGCAGGGCTGGCTCCCATTAGATCACCCTGCCCACACTCCTGTGGCCGAGGTGCCACAGCTCTGATCTTGGGGAGAGGCCACCTTCAGGCCCACTTTCAGAGTCTGTGAGCAGAATCCTGTTCCGAGGACCCACTATCACAGAGCATTCAAATATCTCCAAGAAATAGGTGGGCATTTCAGAGTATCTAGGCCCCCTCTTCTCCCTTCCCCTCCCCACTGCACCCTTCAGGGTGTCCTGAGCAGGGTGTCCGCACCCTGTCCTGAGCAAAGTGCCCAGGGCCCCTTCCTGCAGCCAAAAGGCAGCTGGCCCCAGGAACCTTCAGAATGACCAGTGTCCAGGGTCCTTCAAGACAGAGGCCTTTGTGGGTTGCGTCAGGTCTCCGAAGTAGACCCCACCATACTAGGAGACAAAAAACTCCCCAAGCAGACCTGTTATTCACACCTAGGGGAGCCCAGCATTCAAAAGGAAGCCGGCAGCTTCCTCGTGCATCGCAACCAGCCTCAGTCGCTCCACACGGCTCAATCTACAGAGAGCTGATTCCAGGAAACACTGCAAAGAGACCCGCTGTGCCCGCCTGCCAGCACCCCCACCCCGTACCCAACACTGCCCCGTCCATCCCTAGCTTTAGACCCTCTACTCAGAGACCCAACATTTTGTACTTCCCTTGGCAACGCTTCCCTGCCCTGCCTCAGTTTCCCTATGAAAACATGCCTTCACCCCTTGCCCAGGGCCATCAGTCTTTTCACCCTTGGCCTGACTGCACCCAATCTGCAATAAAGTTCTCACCAGTTGCTTAAACTCTGCCTGCCTCAGTGGTCTCAATTGTGCCTTGGTTAATACTAACAAGCTGCAGATCATTCTGCAGTGTGGGGGGGGGTGTCACACGCAGGAGGCAGGAGCAGCACATTCTTACTAGTGGTCTCAGGCACCGTGCCACGCACCTTACCCAATCTGTTACCTCATGGTGTCCTCCCATCGCTGCTCTGCTGCTTGCAGAGGACACTCGGGCTCAGAGAAGCAAAACACTGGCCCAGGGTCACCATCAGCCAGCAGCTGAATCAGAGGTGAATCCGCAGTCACCTGATGCCTCAGTCCGTTTGTCCACCGTGCCCACTACTCCCAGATATGAAAGTAGCACGAGAACCAATACTGGGGCCTGAGGCTGGCCACGGTGGACTTGAACGGAAGCAGGGCAAGCACTGGGTCTGCTGACTCTGACTCTGACTCTGACAGTGCTTTCTGCTGCCGGCCCCACATCTGCGGACAATTACAAGCCCTAGCTCTGCTGCCCAGAGGAGGGAGGTTGTCTGATAACTACTGTCTGCAAGGAGAGTGCTGACCAGATGGCCTCCTGCTGCTCTCAGGACCACATCGGGCCTGGTGGACCTGACAGCAGTCAGATCTGAGGCTGCACTGAGTTAGGGAAGGCATCAAGGTACCGGAACCAGAAGCAGGCTCTGGGGAGGACGGAGGCTCCCTGCTGACCAGGAGCAGCTCCCTGGGTATCCAGGATCCTGCCTTTGGGTTCTGGCAGACTTTCATGTAAATACCAGTTCTACTAACTGTGTGAGCTTGTAAACTCACTTAGCCTCTATGTACCTTGGGCTCTTCACTTGTAATATAGGATACTAACAACACCAATCTCAAAGCCTTGCCGGCATGATTCCAAAGGAGGCCCCATACTGACCATGCCTTCATGCAGCGGGTTTCAGTAGTGGTGACCACCCCAACTGTATGCCCCCAATGCTGTGGATTCAGGGCCCCCTTCCTGGACACAGAGAAGGACTGCATAATGTCAGGACATCTTGTCAGAGGCCTCTGTGCACTCCAGGAGTCACAGAAACAAGCATGGACCCCTCTTCCGTTCTTTCATAGAAAAATGCAGCCCCAAACAACCACCTGATATTCTGGAAGCAAGGCAGGAGGCACCCATTCACTTCCACCAGCACATTTTCCTAGCCTGGAACCCACCCAGGGCTGGGTATTAGGGGCAGAACACAAGACAGTGAAACCTGGAGCCTGAACAATCCCTGCTGTGTACACAGAACAGGAAGAGAGGATGCTGAGCAGCAAGATGCAGCTTGGCGTGCACAGCCAGCACTCGGAAGATGGGAGGAACCTGGGAAGGCTGCCTGGAAGAGACGGAGTAGCAGGGGCCTTGAAAGAAAAGTGATGAGGAAGGGCATTCCAGGCCGAGGGAACGGGGAGGGCAAATGCCCACAGGCAGGATGGCACAAATTCCTTCTGAAAATTCTGGGACAAATTGACGAACACAAAGCCCAGGTCTGGAGCTGTGGGGCAGTGGAAGCTTGCAACTTCCCCCAGCTTTGCCACTTGCTAACTGTGTGGCTACAGTTCTGTGACTGCGGGGAGCATTGGGGAGCATTGCAGGAGACACCTCACATGCAAAACATAGGAAAGCACAACCCGGCCTCTGGCGCTGCCTGCGAGCGCTCTGGGCACAGTCTCAGCCAGCAGGGAGTATCAGTCAGTTAGGAGCCCTGCTTTTCACAGGCTGGGAAGGCACAGAAAGTCAAGGCGCGAAGGTCTGTTTTCGGATGGAGGGGAGAAGGGGCCAACCCAGAGCAGGGACGGAGCAAGGAGGCCGGGCGGCCGCCTAGGACAGAAGCAAATGGCTCGGATGCAATCCTCGTCATGGAGGAACCCCCAGAGCTGACTGTCGGGTCCCAGGCCCCCAGCCCCAGCTGCAGACTGCCAGGTCCTCTGGAGACCCTCTTCAGGCAGAATTTTCCCAGTGGCTGGGGTTTTAGAAGGACATTTTAGGAATCTGGAAAATTTACAAATCCATTTAAATCCCCAAGGGTTGCCTGGTGGCAGACTGGCCTAAAGCCAGGCCCACTGTTAGGAACAAGGCTGGGGCCAAGGGACAGGGGCTAGAGCCTAAGGACCCCCATCTTGATAGGTCCCTTTCTATGCACCCTCAGTTTCCCTCTCTGGCCCCTCCCAGCTTTCTCCCCCTATTAGAGGCTCCACACCCCAGAGTGTCTCAGTAATCTCCTCCTGTCTGACTCCAAGTGTCTCACAGAGCACCCCCACGTTGTGCGAACAGGGTAGGGGCGGTGGAGTTGAGGGGTAGCAGTCATTCACCTCAGGAGCAGGAGAAAACTGGTTCCTCCAGCCTTGACATCCCTGGAAGCCAACCAGTCGCTTCCCATCTGGTTTTGTTAAAAATATTTTCCGGGTTTTTTACCTACCAAAAGAGTCAACAAGCTGGGGCAAGGGGACAGGGCATGGGGCCAGGGATCCCCCCTTCTGCCTGCACTTACCTTGTTGCCAATGGAGTCTGGTGTGGACACGTCTCAGACTGTGGGCTGTCACCCCCTCCAGGAAGTCCTCCTTACTTGCCTTTTCCTTGTTACCAGTAAGACTTCGCTGGGCCCGAAACAGGCAACAGCTAGGCAGAAGGCTGTGCTATCCCAGGCTCCCAGGGACTCGGGAGGACCGAGAGAGGGCTGCAGGGCGAGCAGTGGCCAGCCTCGCCTCACTCCCAAAGCATCCTTTGGGAGGAGCAGAGCCGCCAGGAGGGGCCGCCCTGGGTCTGGCTGTGTGTGCCGGCCGGCAGCCGCGGGCTGCAGACGCTGTTGGTCCGCAGGGCCAGCTCTCTCCTCGGTGATCTCCTGCTGTCTGACTCCTAAGTTGCTCACAGAACAATCCCAGATCCCAGATAGGACTGGCAGGGACTGCGGCCACAGGCGGTCCCCCAGCTCACACCACCTTGGTCTTCCCTGCCCCACCCCCCTACTTTGGGGGAAAGGCTGCAGGGCGGCCTCTGATTGGCCCAGCTGGAGAGAAGGGGGGCGGAGGGGCCGGGAGGGTGGAAGCGTGCGTCTGTTTTCAATTTCAGGGTATTTCCCCCCCCCCTCTTTTTCTTTTCCCCCAAGTTTCTTGTTTTTCTTCCTTTTTTCCCTCTGCTCGCTCCCTCCCGTCGCCCGTTCTCTCAGGATGTGAGGGGATGTTTAGAAATTCCACAGCCCACGCCAGCCACTGAGTCACTTTTATTGAAGAGTGGCCCAGCTTCCCTTACTTGATGCCTGCCTCTGGCTTCAGTCTCCCCTGGCCAGGGCACCTGGGATGGGCATGAGGGCCCTTTCTTTGTGCCTCAGTTTCTCCATCTGTAAAAAGCTCTGATGATCATGTGGTTGATTCAGCCAGCATTCACTCATGAAACCAGAATGGTAAAGCACCTATTGTGTACCAGACACTGCACTAGTGCCGGGGACGCAGTAGTAAGACGCTGTCCAGTGGGAGAGGCATGCTCTGGGGGAGCAGACGCATCAGGAGGGCAGGAGCCTGTGGGTGCAGAACACCAGACAAGGCTTGAGGGAGTCACTCTTCCACCGCAGGGGCTGAGTTAGAGGTTGCTCTTACTGCATGCTCTGATTCTCCACTTGGACCCACAGCTGTCTTCTTTGTTACCCTGAACTTTGGGTTAGATTCCTGCTCACCTCTGCATAAACATCAGTGTACTGTAAACACTGATCATCCAGAGTGACCAGCCTAAATTCACCGAACTGCTCTCATCCCCCTTAATGACTGACACCACCAAGATCAGAACAGCCACTCTCCAGAGCCCAGGCGGATCACTGGGATCATCTGGGATGGGAGCCAAGGCCTGTCTCCAAGTGGAGTAATCATCTCCCGCTGGCGTCCCCTCAAGTGAGCACTGCTTCCCCCAGATCCAGAGAAAGACTGGTCAGACCACAGCGGGACCAAGCTCCTGGACTGTGCTTACTGTTTGCTTCCTGCCTGATATTTCTCCCATGTTATCCTGAAGCCCTTGTTAGCACCCCGAAGACAGGGCCGAAGACAGGGCTGAGGATTCAAGGCCCTGTCTCTTCCCAGCCTGCCACACTCAATAATAAAATGTTTTCAATCTATTTATGGCTCTGAGGATGGAACCCAGGTCTCACTCATGGTAGGCAATTGTGGGCTGCAGCACCAGTCCAATGAACGCCCTTCCTCCTTCGCCATCACCCGTGGACTCAAGATGATGGACGCTGAGCCTGAGCTCCTGGACTCTCTCAGTTAGGCCCCCGGCCTGAACTCTGGGAGGTGACCTGGAAGAGGCAGAGAGACCCATCATGATGATTTATTCTTCGGAGGGAGAAACTGAGGTCTAGTAGCACTTTGGCACAGAGAGAAAAAGCAATTGGCCTAAGATAACCTAGCATATTTCCTCAGAATTCCAGACATACTCCTTTTAGCTTTTCGAAGTCCTCAGGGTACCAAGAAGAGACTATCTGTGCTGTTATAGAGCAAACAGAGGCCCAGAACAGTATCATAAACTTCCCAGGCTCATACAGCATCAGCAGAACTGGGTAGAACCAGATTTTGTATGATAGAAGGGACCGAGGTCCTTTACATCTACCCAAAACCCATGCTCCGGTGTGGACCACCCTGTCCCACCTTCTTCCAGAGTAACCCGTGGCTCTTTCATGCAGTCATGCAACAAGGTATTTTCATATTTTCAAATATCTATAGCAGTCCAGTTCCATCCTGCCCCGCCCCATCCCCCCAGGGTTTGCGAGGCCTCCTTTAGTGCCCCTGGCTGGTTCTTCTCTCCTCCTCTCCTTCTCGGAGACATCTAGACACAGGGCTCCTAGTCCCCAGAAGCCAAGGAGCGTTGTCTTAAGTGGCCCCTTTAAAAGGTCTCCCCTTGGAAGTTCCTGGAGGGCCCCTAGCCCTACCTGAGAGGCAGTTTTCCCGCCTGACCATAATGGAAAACTGAGCTGAGCCTCAGGAGGAAGCTGAGTCCTAGAAGGGGAAGAAAAGTGTTCCAAGCTACACAGGTAGAGCCTCACTCATTCAACGCTGTGCTCTGCACCTCTGTCTCCCCTGTTCCACCTCAGTGCCCCCAGGGCCCCTGCTCCTGGAGCAGAGTTGTTGGGACTGAGATCCTGTGCCAAGCACAGTCATTGTTTGGTCTTCTGCCTGTAGGAATTATTGTCCCGCAGAGAGTCTGGGCTGGGCCACACGGAGGAAGCGTTCTCAGACTGGCCCAGGCCGTGGACTGGGTAATGAGTTCCTGGAGACAGGCCTGGGCCAGGGCTTGGTGGCAGCAGAACCGTAAGGGAACATGGAGTGATCCCACAAACCACAGAGTCAGGCCTGCCCAGGACTTTTTGGGCCCAAAGACTCAATCAAAAAATTCCAACTCTCTGCTTCGAGATTCAAAACAGCACAAGAGGAAGGGAGGGAAGAAATGGAAGGGAGAGGGAGAAGGAGAGGGAGAGAGAAAGGGACAGGGACAGGGACAGGGACAGGAGAGGTCCCTCTAACATTTGTCTTAGCCAGTCACCTTGAAGCAGTGTTGCAGCCAGGCATCTCAGGAGAAACAGAGTTTCAGCCTCCAAAGAAGCTACTCTAGGTGTGAGGTTAGCTAGCTCTGGACTTGTTCAAAGGCCTTAGATGAGTCCCACGTCCTTCCCCAGCCTCAGTTGCCCCATGTGTCCATAGGAGGCTGGGTTCACCATGCTGCAAGGCCCTTGAGATGCCCTGACTTCCAGGAGGGAGGAGAGATTGGCAAGGCCCTAGGGCAGGAGCACAGCTGGGGGCCAGAGATGTAGCATAGAGGGGAGGGGGCGGTTGGTGGTGGCTCCCCCGGGGCGGTTGGCGGCTGCCGGTTTCCGGCCAGCCCAGGCATCCGCCTGGCCCATCTGGAATCACTTAGCCCCTACCACCATTAACCCTTGATGGGCACTAGGGCTGTTTCTCCTCTTCTCAAAGGGGAGGCAGGTGGGAGCTGTGGAACTCCACCATGCATCAGGAGCACTTGCCAAGGCCAGGACAACTGAGGAGAAAGGACTGGGCAGGTTCCAGGGCCAGAGGCAATGCTTGGGGTCAGGTCCCGCTTCTCCTGCTCCAAGCTCAGTGATCTTGGGCAAGTCACTTGAATGCTCAAGCCTGTCTCCTCCTCTGGAAAATGATGATTCTAGGGTTGATTCATGAGACAGATTTGTACCAAGGCATTCCAGCACTGTGGGTCTCCAAGCCTCAGTTTCCCCACTCTAAAAGTGTAGGCAATGGATAGAGACATGGACAGCGCAGCACTGCCATGCTGGGATGGTCAGCCTGGCCCCCACCCCACTGTGGACAGGATAAGCCATGGGCACCATCTTACCTGCCCAGATTTGTCTGAGTCTGGCTGCCACACCTTCATCTTAGGGCTGTGCAGAGTGTGCAGGGCGGGAGCCCTGGCTGACACAGACTGCGAGGGTGCCCAGGGAGCCCGGCTCTCGGAGCCCAGCATGATGTCCCCAGAGCATGGGGCATACTCAAGGGTTAAGTGCCTGAGCTGTGACGTCAGCTGTCCCATCACAGCTCTGCCACCTCCTAGCTCTGGACAGTCAGGCTCTGCACTCAGAGACCCATCTTCACAGGGTTTCAGAGATGCCCTGAGTAAACGATGAACACAGGCATTTTGGGCCAGCCCTAGGGCAGACCAAGAAAGGCAACTGATCCTCAGATGTCGCCCAGAGCTGCTCATCCAGCCCACTCAGTTTATAGGCAATGATGTGACCATGGCCAGGATGGAAGCAACTTGCACCACTGTGCATGTGTGGTGTCAGCCACAGGTACAGAGTACACGCGAAGCTTCTGTCTGAACTCTTAGCTGTGTTCTTCCTGCAGGAGGGAACCAGGCTGAGTGGACCCCCTCCTGAGACCCCACCCACGCTTGCAAGAGCTGGAAGCAGTAGCTGGGGGGGAGGAGGGCTCAGGGCCGGAAAGGGAGCCTGAGTGGGAGAATTCCCAGTAGGCCAGCTCAGCACTCAGCAGGCAGGGCCAGTGGCCACCACATCTGGCGCTCCCATGCTCCCAAAGTTGACCCCTATCCAGGCTCCCTGGGCGGAGGAAGTGGCAGGGGGGCAGCACACGTGTCTCAGGTTGGCACAGTCATCTTGGATGTTAGAGCCAGAAAGGCCCTTAAAGGTTGTCCACTGTACAGGCATGAAGACTGAGGCCTAATAAAGGGAAGTGGGGGACTGGGGATTTAGCTCAGTGGCATAAGCACCTGTCTTGCAAGCAGGTGGTCATGAGTTCAATCCCCGGTACCAATTAAAAAAAAAAAAAAAAGGATGTATGTGAAGGGAAGCAGCTTACCTGAGTTTCACAGAGAGGTGCGGCAGCACAGAATGCCCCTCACCCCTAGCAGAAGTCCTTCCACTGTTTCACTCTGAGCAGAGCAGGCTGGCCCTTGTGCCTACAGCTCAGGACCGGAAAGGCACCAAGCAGGAACCTCCCCCACCTCTAGGATGCCAGCATAGCAACCATCTGAGTGGGCAGAGGGGCCAGCAGGGATCTCAGGCCGCATTCTCTATGGGATTTCTGGCATGGCTCTTACTGGGCCAGGCTGCAGCCACTGAGTCTTGCTCTGATGTCAAAAGATAAGGGTTCCGCATGCTGCCCACTATTCCTCACCCGGACCCTCTACTGGCCTCTGTCTTGGTGCCAAGGGCCACAGTGCCTTCTGGGACAAGTCAGGGGGTCAAAGATCAGCACGACAGCAGGGCCCTTGGAGGCCACATGTTTTCCCTCTGGACATACCGGTGCGTATAGTCCAGGGAGGGACAGAATCTGTCTCAGCTGGTCTCCATATGGGGACGTTCACTATAACTCCAGCCTGTCCCATTTCTCCCACCACCCATCTGTACAACAACAGTTAACTGAGCACCTCCATGTGGCCAGCCCTCCTATCCCTTTACAGGTCACAAACACACAAGAAAGCACAAATGCAAAACAGCAAATGGTGATAAATATGATTTTTAAAAAAAGATATAGAAACTAATGAGCTGAGCAGATGGGATTTTGCTCAGAAAGGCATTGGCTTCTCTGGGGAAGAAACTTCAGAAGAGACTGCAGTATGAGAGGCCACCTACAAAACAGGAGTGGGAACAGTATTTGAGGCAGAAGAAACCTGGAGAAGCAGAGAGGCTAGGAAAAGATGGGTGTGTTTGAACAGAGAAAAAGAAATACTTGAGGCCAGGTAGTGGCTCCCACCGGTAATTCCAGCTACCCAGGAGGCTCCAGCAGAAGAACTGTAAGTTCAAGGCCAGCCTGGGCAACTTAGAGACCCAGTGAAACCCACCCTAAAATTTTTAAAAAGCCAAGGATGCAGCTCAGTGGCAGAACATATAACATTAGGCCCTGAGTTTAATCTCTAGTAACACCAACAACAAAAGAAGGTTAAAGAAGGGTTGTATATGACATTGGGGTGGTAGTCAAGGTGGCCATTAGGCCCTTAGGCCCAAGAGAGTCTGCTTTTTACACAGGGGTCCAGCAGGGCAACCACAAGATTTTCAGCAAGGGTGAGACAGGGGTTGTAGTGTCCTTGGGCAATGGGCTGAGGGGCACGGGTTGGGGAGGTCGGTGGTGGTGTGGAGGTGGTCGTGCACAATCATGAAATGAATGCACCGCACTGGTCCCTATTTCTGTCCACCTGAGAGGCAGGCTGCAGAGAAGCAGCCTGACGGGGAGCTGGACAGGGCGCCCAGCACATGCTTTGACCATTGACTCACTCCGTGAATCTGCTTCCTCCTGTGGCTTCGGCATCTCTGTAGAACAGGTCAGACATGGTGCTTTTTTGATGAGGGCATTTTGTGTGTCCTGAGTCTCAGTCGCAGCATGCTCTCTGCTACCTCGGTGTCTGGCTGCTAGAGGTCTGCCTCCGTCCCCCTGGCTTCCGGCTCACATACCACCAGACAAGAAAGACTGAGTGCTTCTGTAGTTCCCAGAAGTGTCACCAGGTGGCGCGCCTAGCCGCTGGAGGGGGCCCGAGGGAAGGTGTTTGGAAGGATCAGGAAAGCAAATTCCTCACAGGAGCTGCGTCCCTTTTGAGGTTCACTGTGCCCCCTGGGAGCTGGGCGAGGGACAAATTGCCATCCCCTTCTAAAGTGGAAGCAGAGATTCAGAGAGGGGAGGTAGCCCGCCCAAGGTCACACAGCAAGATGGAGGGTTGGCTAGACCTGCTCCCAGCACAGCAGCCCAGGACAGCTGTCTGGAGAGTTTAGGAGTCTTGCAGTGGGGCCACCACAGGCCTGAGGCTGGCCCTGCTGCCCACCAGCCCTGTGGAGCAAACTGCTTCCAGCAGAAAGCTAACCCTTCCCGGACCATAAACCCAATTTTAAAACCAAGTTATCACTTCGATCTTTATGAGGCCATCACAGCTGCACCCCGCCCCAAGAGGCCCTGGCTGGTGTGTGAGAGCAGCTTGGAGGGAGGGCTTCCAGGGGAGATGGGCCTTCCCCACCCTGGAGCCGGAGGAGGAAGGGCCCAATAAACAGCCACTCCCAGAGATAAGGAGCTGTTCCAGAGAAAGAACTGCTAGCATGGATAGGGACAGGGGCTTCTCCTTGCAAGCACTGCACCATGGGTGGAGGCCTCTGTCCACAGCGGGCACATGGGGAAACCGAAATCGGGGTGTAAGGCATGCGGTAGTCAGAGGCAAGGCTGGGAAACACCTGCCTGCCTCCAAGACTATAAACAAGGTTACAGAGCCTTTGGGAGAAGGCTGCTCAGGACGCTGCTGGGGGGGGGGGTCTCCACAAAGGTAAGGGCTAGGGGACAAAAGAGGCTCTTTTGCATGAAGAAGCCAGAGGAGGAAGAGGAACTAGCTATTTGTTTAAGCAAAATCCAGCTAACATGTGCAGAAGTAGAGAGGCATACACAGGGTCACTATCCTTGCTATCCTAATAGGCCAGCTCAGCTATGAAAAGAAAGAAAAACTTTCCAGGGAGTTGCTGTGTGGCCTCGGGCAGGTGGCTTCGCCTCTGAGTTCCAGCTTCATCATTTGCAAAACAGGAAAAACCGTCAAGCCTGTCTCCCTGGACTGTGCTGGGGATGGACAGAAGTAACAGATATGGAGGGGCCAGAAGTGATGTAAAAGCAGCAGTACTATTGTGATCAGTCCAGCATAGAGCCAAGGGCCGGTCTGCTGCCTGAGATGCTGCGCGTGCGCACTGAGCTCACAGTCACAAGACGGGGCGGGGGGGGGGGGGTTGCAGGAATGGAGGCAGCTGCCCCTACCTCAGGATGTGTCTGCAGAGAGGGAGGTGCATGCTTCCTGGGAGGTGCAGTACTGAGAGGGCCAGGGAGTAGCTCCCCGGGCTCCAGGGCTTCCTGCTTCTGCTCTCTCCTCAATCAAGAAACCATGCTTGGCACAGAAAGCCCTCAGCTATGCGGTCCATCTCTCAGGCACGACCTGCCAGGAGCTCCATCGCACCTGGACCCTGCCTGGCTTCGTTGAGGTCCTGGCTCTCAGCCCTCCCTCCTGCTTGAGGACCAATTTGTCAGGCCTAGGAGAGCACATGGTCCTAGTCCTGGGAGCCTCTGCTCAGAGTGACCCTTAGCCCACACACTCCTTTGCCACTGCCCTGACCCTGACTCACAAGTCACTTCCTCCTCTCTGACTCCCTGTTCCTGTGTGTAACCTTTACTGTGCTTACTTAATTCATTCCTGCCTCCCTCTCCACACAGGCACCCCAGGCCTCGGGGAGCAGGACCTCCCCCAGCACAGAGAACAGGCTCAGCACGGAAGGAGGCGTCAAAGGAAGAAATGAGTGAACAAATGAATCACCACCCCTGTTCCCAACCCTTCAACCTATCATCTCGGTCTGATTTAGCACTCTCTTGGAAACAGAAGGTATAGGGGCTGGGGATTTAGCTCAGCGGCATAAGCGCCTACCCTGCAAGCAGGCAGTCGTGAGTTCGATCCCTGGTACCAATTAAAAAGAAAAAAGAAAAAGAAACAGAAGGCATAACCCCCTCCTCTCCCTGGAACAGCATCCCTAACTGAGGACCTAGAGCAGTCACTTACATGCCTCCTGTGACGGTGAGCTCGCTCCCTGTGAGAGCTCATTTCAAGACAACCCTTCCAAGAGTGCTTGGTCAGGTCCGCGTATGCTGCAACCAGGGCCACAGCAGCTTTCTCTCAGGTCCCAGGTCCAGGCTGTCCCCTCCTCTCCCCAGTGCAATGCCACTCGCAGCCTGCTCTTCCTCCAGTCCTAGTAACTAGCCCAGCGAGTGGAGTTTAGTCCTCTGGGGCCTCCTCTCTCCTCTGTGTACCCCCAATTTCTCTTGAAAGGTTGGTTCCTGAATGGAGCCCCCAGCGAGCTCCAGATCCCTTCTGAGAAAAGTTTCTCAAAAATATGCTCACTTCCTGACCTTCCCTGCTTCGGCAGCTTTTATTTTCTTTTTCTATTTATTCATTATTTTTCTTTTTCCCTTTCTTTGCTAGGGGTTAAACCAGAGCTTCCCATATGCTAGAGACCTGCACTGGGCTGCATCCCCAGCCCTCGTCATTTATCATTTTGAGACAGGACAGTTGCCCAGGCAGTCCTGGAAATTGTGATCCTCCTGCCTCAGCCTCCTGAGAAGCTGGGATTACAGGCCTGTGCCACCACACCCAGCTAGCCACGTGCTCATTGGTGACACGTGCTCAGCAAGGTCACAACAATTCGGGCAGTCGCATACAGGAAGCAATTAAAACAAGGGGGCCCTGGCCACAATAAATGGATCAGCGCTTTTGCATCCTGGTTCATACAAAAAAGATGTTTTTGAATCAATAGGAGTATTTTGCATAAGAACAGCGTGTTAGATAATACCCAAGAGTTTGTGTTCATTCTGTTAATGTGACAATGACATATTGTGTAAGAAAATGTCCGTGTTTCAGAGATGCATGCTGAAGTATGTGGGGGTAAGATGACTTGCGGTCTGGAATTTGTTTTAAAACATTTTAGGGAAAAGAGAGGCAGGTGAAATAAGTGTAACAAAACCTTGGTAACAGTTGAACTGAGGTGATGGGCACCTATTGGTTTATTATGCATTTCTACTTTGTGTTTGATGCTTCTTAATAATCATAATAAAAGGGCAGAGACTCATCAAGAGAATTTGTGGAAAGTTTCCCAGATGTTCTCAGAAGACTCCCCCCTCCCTCCTGCCCCACACCTTTGAGAAATTTCTCTGGACCCCAGGTGAAGCCCCCCAAAGTATTCAGGCTCATCTATGTGCATATGTGCATTTTCTGGGGGAAAAACAACCATCGCTTTCATCGCAGACTAGTGGGGTCGTGACCTCTCTCTCTCCTTCCCCAAAGGGCACCGTACCTTAAGACTCGACCCTGTTTTAAGTCAGCATTGCCCCCCTCACTCACCTCAAGCTGATGGGGTCGCTACCCAGTGGGCCACAAGTCGGATGCGGCCGTGCAGCCCGGGTGCCCTGCTTCTCTACCTGCGAGCTGGGGTCGGGAGGCCGAGCCCGCAGCGACAGGCAGGATGGGCGACCGGGCCACCAGGCCCACCGAGGCTCAGGCGGTTCCCACGCGTGGCGGTGCAGTGAGCCTCGCACAGAACGCTCCCTCTGTACCCCCAGCCTCCCGGGAGCTCCGGTCGTCCACCTCCCGCTTGGGGAGGCAATTTGTCTCCTTTTGAACCCCTCGCCCCCGACGGGTTTCCCCCTTTGATTCGCAGGCCAGAGGCTTCCCCCCGCTTTGAAATGCAAACCCGCCCCGGCTGGGGCCGCGGGCGCCCGGAGCTATAAAAGGCCTGGGTGGGGCGGGTGCAGCGGCGGCGGCGAGGCCAGGTGAGCGGTTGCTGGTCGTCGGGGCGCCGGCCGCGGCGCTCCAGGGCCCAGCATGCGCGGGGGGCCCCGCGGCCACCATGTACGTGGGCTATGTGCTGGACAAGGACTCTCCGGTGTACCCTGGCCCCGCCAGGCCCCCGAGTCTCGGCCTGGGCCCACAAGCCTATGGCCCCCCGGCCCCGGCCCCTGCACCCCCGCAGTACCCCGACTTCGCCGGCTACACTCACGTGGAGCCGGGCCCCGCGCCCCCCGCGACCTGGGGCGCACCCTTCCCCGCGCCCAAAGACGACTGGGCCGCTTACGGTGCTGGACCCGCGGCCCCGACCGCCAGCCCGGCCCCCCTGGCATTCGGGCCCCCTCCGGACTTTAGCCCGGTACCCGCGCCCCCGGGGCCGGGCCCCGGCCTCCTGGCGCAGCCCCTCGGCGGCCCGGGCGCACCGTCCTCGCCAGGAGCGCAGAGGCGGACGCCCTACGAGTGGATGCGGCGCAGCGTGGCGGCCGGAGGCGGCGGTGGCAGCGGTAAGGCCCCTTCCCTCGCCCTGCGCCTCCGGACTGGTCCCCGGCACTGGCAGGTGCTCGGCGAGGCCCAGGCTGTCCGGCGTGACCTCTGTCCCGGCCCTGCATGGCTTGCAGAGTGTGGCCAGCTTTCGCCTAGCAGAGCGGTTCTCTTTCCGCCGCCTTGAGTATCCCAACCTAACCCTGTTCCGGTGCAGACGGGGACACTGAGACCCGGTGGAGTGAGGCAACGCGCAGGCCTTGCTGCGAGATTGCCTGAAATAGAGTCGGGTCCCTAGAGCTTGTGCCAGGACGCTAGCACGTGGCCCCGGTAGTCTTCCAGGCCTCTCCCACTCGTGCCCGGCCTCGGCAGAGATGGCAGTCTCCCCCTAGAAGGAGGGGTCAAGACTGCAGACTGGCCGGTCACTTTCCTTTCCAGAGCCCTTTCCAGGACTTAGCGCCCCATCTTACAGTGAGGAGTTCGGTTAGTACTTTCTGGTTAGCTCGGGCCGGGGATCCCCTACCTAGCCTTCCTGGCCCTGCCTGAACTCTTGACCCCGGGGGAGGGGACGCAGGAGCAGTTGGGAAGGTGGCTACTGTTTGGCTCCTGAGCCTGTGAACCTCCTGCCCCCAGGCAGGCCTCTCTGATCCAGGCTCTTCAAAGGAAGGGGAGGGGGCAGGACAAAGGCCCGGCTTTAATGAGGGGCGGCCTGACCTTTATGGCTCCCCCCACCCCACTTTGTCATGTAACTGGTTGTGCCTTGGCTCAGCAGTGACTCCTGTTGGCCGGAAAGTGAACGTGACACCCCATTGTCTAAATTGTGTCCAGGCCTGTCCTGACAAAGGCCACCTGGCCATGGGGGCGGGCAGCTGGCCTGCCCACCCTTTGATGTCCAGCCCCTCCTTCCCGTCCCCCAGCTGGGAGCAAGCCTGGGACTTCCCTCCCCTCCTGTCCTCTTCACCCTGTCTCCCACACACACAGGCAGCCTCCCCGGGCCACTGCTGGGGCAGCCTCGTTCAGTAGCTGCAGGTTTCACTTGACCACCCCAGGGAGGCTGTAGCTCTCTGTCCTCAGGCAGAGGCTTGGCTGCTCACTTCTGTGGCCTTAATTAAGTAATTATCAGTTAATGCCCTGGAGCATCTAACTCTTAAAGCATTGCTGTAGATACTGCTGTCACTCCAGCTTTGAAGATGAAACTGGCGCATAGTGGGAAGATACTTGCCCTCGACCAGATAACCAATGACCGGGATGGGGGGGATTTGAGCCCAGGCAGACTGGGTACTGAGCCTGTGCTCTCATCCTCTACACAACTGCTTTTCGGAAATATGAGTCATCTTTCCTGGGTCCCAGTTCTACTGTCTGGGAAATGAGAGGGAAAGAGGCCTTTGCACCCTGGTTTGAGTTTGAAAAGACTACTTTGGAAAATCAGACGGAAAGGACAAAACTCTTCCTGGAGAAAAATGATGCGTCATTGGGCATCAATTTCAGGGATTCTGGAGACCCCTCCTGAAGCCCTGTCCATAACTCCTAGAATACAAACCCCACCTTAGATTACATGAAGGGCAGGGACTCTAATGTGAGGGCCTTGTCCGCAGCGTCCTTCAGTCCTACGACTGGCACATCTGGATGGGGGTCTGCCTGGCTTTCACTTTCTGCTTCCTGGTAATCAGATGACTTGAGATAGATGGGGAAGTTCCCCAGGGGTGGGGACTCAGAGAGACTGGTGTGTGCCAGAAGGAGTGGGCCTGTGGGGATTGGAGGATGGGAGAGAGCCTGGAAGACCTTCCGGTCCAAACAAATTACATATGCAGTATGTCTGGGCACAGGAGCTGTGGAGCCCAGCTCTACTGCTGGCCAAGAAAAATCCCATGTTATTTGTTGTCTGCAGGCAGATGGGAGAAGGTGGCTGCCCAAAGGCAAGATGATTTCCCCCTCTGCCGTCAGAGAAAAGAGGGAAGGGCTATGGGAGGCCTGGCGGTCCTGGGCCTCCAGGAAAGGCTGCCTGGGAGCCTGATCGGAGCATTTTGTAGGGAGGAGTTGGAAGCTGCTGCTGCTGCGTGGGCTCAGGCATGTGCCTCTCACCAGTGCTCCCAAAGCAGGGACAGAGCAAGGATGGGGTCATGGACTTTGAGAAAAGACCGCAACCCCTCCCTTGCTGGCCTCAGTTTCTCCTTTTGGGCAACGCAGGTATAGGTTTCTAGAGGTACTTGCTGTGGGATGCTGTTGTATGGGATAGCCAACACTGATTGCCATGCCTTCCTCCCCCAATGACCCTCGTCCCCAGGTCTTCAGCCTGAGACTGTGTTTGAGTCACCAGCTCCTCTTTGCTTCTGAGCCCCTGGAATTCTAGAATGTCCACACTAGATGGTTAGAGAGCAGCCACAGAGGTGGGAGACCTGTCTGGGGATTGTGAAGACCGTTGAGTTCATCCAAGTGGAGGCCAGGCTGGGAGAGATGTCGGATGCATCTCTGTGAGCATTTCCTGTGGTTTCCCATTGCGCTTAGGATGAAAGCCACACTGCTTCCTGAGGGCCACAGAGCCACACAGCTTCAGCACCTGGTCCCCACATTACTCCCCTGGGCCACCGGGATCCAGCCACTCTGGCCTCTAGCTCCTCAGGCCTGACCAGGTCTTGTGCACCTGCCATTCTGTCTCTCAGCAAAGCTCTTCCCCCTTATTCTTTCCACATCTAGCTCCATCTCCCTTTTCAGTCTTAGCCCAGTGGTCGCCTCCTCCAAGGTTCCCGTGCTGGCTCCCCATGCCCAGTGAGGGTGTCAGGGAGTGTTCCCTCCAGAGCCCTGGCTTGGGTTCCAGTTTGCCCATCTTCTTCCTGGTCCGTATGCTCACTGTTCCTAAGGGGACCAGAGCTGGGTCTGTCTGACCCACAGCAGGTGCCTGCTTCAGTGTGTGACACTTAGTAAGTGCTTGATGCTTTTGGCTTCACGAATGAGCAGAAGCCATCTCTTCGAGGACAAGGGAAGGGCGAGATCTGGGCTTCAGCGTGGATTTCTGGAGTCACTCCTAAGAGGATGGACCCACAGGAGTCCAGGGCATGGGTGGGAGCCTGGCTGCCCTCTCTCCCAACTTGGATGACCTCCTGGCTCCCTTGGGGAGTTGTCAGCTGAGGTGGGACACAGATTCCAAGTTCTTCTTAGCAGAGGTTGGTGGAAATGGAGACCAGGAGGGAGCAGCTGCAGCCCATAAGGAAATATTGGGTCTGAGTGATCAGCATCATGGTTTTTTTGTGTGTGCCAGGGATTGAACTCATGACTTTATGCTTGACAGGCGGGCACTTGTGCCACTGAGCTAAGTCCCCATCCCTGATCAGTATCATTTGACTGAGCCAGAATAGAAAATACCCAAAGGTCCCTGTTGTTCTGTCGTCTCCTTTGCATTGGAAACACCAGTGCTTCGTTTGAGGGGACTTCACCCCTCTTCCGCCCCAGGCATGGCTTACACCATGTGAGTAAGCAGTGAGTCCCAGGTTAGCAGCCCGTTGCAATGGCTAAGGTCACAGGACTGGAGAGATGCTCCCTTCCATGACAGAAGTCTCCAAATACTCTGGTTCAACTGCTTCAGCTTTCAGCTGGGGGGGAGCAGGTGTGCAGAGCAGTGACCCCTCCATACGCATTCCAGACCCTCTCCCTCAGTCCAGCCCTGTAGCTGCTAACCTTCAGGTCTCAGTGACGCCCTAGCTGTCTTCTACGCCACTTACAGACTTACCTTGTCAAGGCTGTTCCCCTGCTCACGAGCAATCTCTGGCTCCCCAGCACCATGGAACTGCCCTCTTGAGAGCTGGCCCTCAGATACTCTCCCACTGAATTGCCTAGAAACCGAAATGTTTACAGTTAGGAGCCAGGGCTAAGGGGTCTCAGATCTGAGACTGCGTCTCTGTGAGAAGCTGTACAGCCTCAGGCAAGCTAGCTTGGATTCTTTCTCTGAAGCTGGCTTTCTTCCACCTTAAGGTCAGGATACTGACAGGACCGCGCTGGAAGCCGGTACCTGTCCAGCCAGCCCTGCACCCGGCACATGGCCAGTGCCCGGTGCGTCAGGTGCATGCAGGCACACACCTCACACTTCCTGCTTCCTGTCTGTCCCTCAGTCCTCACTGCCCCACCTTCCCTCCCCTACTACCTCATCAGTTCAGATGCTGTTCCTTCTCTGAAGCCACCTCCTCCAGGTAGCACTCCTTGATTCTCCCACTACCCCAGGCATGGAATCAGCCTCTTGTTTTAATAGCATGTAGCACAGTCTAGTTTATCCATGCCAGCTACCATCTGTTACTCCCTCTTAGACCAGGCCTAAGGAGGCCCAGCCCCACCCTGCCTTGCACACAGTAGGAGCTCGTGATAAATGTAGTAACTGGCACTGGCTGTGCCTTTACCACATGCAGGTGCTGGGCCAAGAGCTTTGTTCAAGTGGCCTCATTTAAATCTCCTAACAACCTTGGGAGGTGTGAAAGTTCTATTATTGGACTCATTTTACAGGTGATGTTGATGAGGCTCGGAGAGGTAAGGTGGCCTCCCTACGCTCACACAGCTAAGGGATGGCAACACAGACCTGGCCAGAGTCTGAACAGGAACAGAGCCCAAGGCCCCTCCCACCATGCATCCCAGGCCAGGTGGGAAAGGAGGCCAGGCAGGCTTGAGCTGTGAGAGGCCGGGGCAGCATCCCGGCAGGGGCCGCTGTGCAGAGCTGGTTCCCAGGCAGAAGCTCTGTTTGACACCTCGGCTCTCAGATGTAGCTAGGAAGGGACTGACCCAGTTAGAAGGTGGCGGGAGGCTTTTTTTGGCTGGATGCCCCCTCCCCCTCCTTTTTGACAAACAGTGCTGCTTGTAGCTTCTTCAGGAATCACTGTGAGGGCCCAAACATGTTCGCTAGCAGCAGCGTCTGGCTTGTCCGTAGGATGCTATCTCCATGGACTGGGCTCTCGGGCTTCTGTCTGAGAGCCCCTGGAATTTGGAAGCAGCAGTTTCTTCTGGAGTCAGGTTGTTAGCAGGCTGCATTTCACCCGCACAGATA